GGCAGGCTGAGGGCTTCCTGCAAACAAAGATGCACCAAGGAATAGCTGGAGCCTCATAAATGCACTTGGGGAGAGAAGGAAAAGGGATTTGAATTTCAACTTTGATGCATAATGTGCTTTCTCCAGAAAAACAGCCTTCTTGGCAGGGACCAGCCAACTTCCCACTAAATCTCCTGGAGGAGCGTTGCCAGTGGCAGAGATAAAACCTCAATGAAACACAATTAGCTTCCACTCGGATTAGCCCAACTCGCCTCCCTCCTCCCAGCCAGGCAGCGGGACAGGGACCGTCTCGGGACCCCGCGCGGCCGCCGCGCCGTCGCGGTGCGGGGAGGCTCAGCCTCCCTTCATGGCTAACGGGATCTGACGTGTGATGAAGCCACGAAGTTCGGAGCGCCGCAGGGCAGCCCTGGCGATGGCGCCGAGGACGGGGGCTCGTCACGGTCGGTTTGCTGCGGTTCGCCGCGTTTTTGGTGTTGGGTGGCAGTCCAAGCTCAGAAGCAGATACGCAGCAAGGAGAAAGGGGGCAGAGAGGCGAATGGCCAAGAGATTTGGTTTTCAGGTGGGGATATGATCAAGAATGGTATTTTTTTAGGTTCAGAAGTTGGGATATTTGCTAGGCTTGAGGTATCGAAGCTTAAGCATCCCTCACGGCCAGGGTGACTTGTCCCAGTTCGATTGTTGCTTTCAAGTCCCTTGCTGGCCCAGGACACATGTCCATCCCACTTGTGCCCCAGGGATATTTCTGGATCTGCAGCAAATGACATTTGGGGCTGGGAAGTGGGGCTGTCTGAGCACCCGGAGCAGTGGAGGGAGTGGGAAAAAAGCCTTGAACCCACCTCAGAAAGAAGCAGGACCACACGTTCCATCTGAGCTCAGGGCCAAGAGATGCTGGCAGGGCTCTAAGGGCAAACCAGCCCATTAATTAATAGCCTAATTGCCCAGTAACGAACGTCGGACTTAGCTCAACCTTGAAACAGGCCAAGTGAGCCAAGGCGGCCGGGAGCCCTCGGGGCAGGGGAGCGCGGGGGCCGCCGGAGCCATTCGCATCGGGACGGGTCAGGGCGAGG